ATCATCATCATCATCATCATCATCATCATCATCATCATCATCATCATCATCAGCAGCATCATCATCATCATCATCATCATCATCATCATCATCATCATCATCATCATCATCATCATCATCATCATCATCATCATCATCATCATCATCATCATCATCATCATCATCATCATCATCATCATCATCATCATCATCATCATCATCATCATCATCATCATCATCATCATCATCATCATCATCATCATCATCATCATCATCATCATCATCATCATCATCATCATCTCATCCATCTTCCTCGTTTTCCTCCTCCCCTCCTCCTCCTTCTTCTCCTTCTGCCCTCCTCCTCGTCCTCCCTCCTCCTCCTCCTCCTCCTCCTCCTCCTCCTCCTCCTCCTCCTCCTCCTCCTCCTCCTCCCCCCCTCCTCCTCCTCCTCTCCTCCTCCTCCTCCTCCTCCTCCTCCTCCTCCTCCTCCTCCTCCTCCTCCTCCTCCTCCTCCTCCTCCTCCTCCCCTCCTCTTCCTCCTCCTCCTCCCTCCCCCTCCCCCTCCTCCTCCTCCTCCTCCTCCTCCTCCTCCTCCTCCTCCTCCTCCTCCTCCTCCTCCCTCCTCCTCCTCCTCCTCCCCCTGCTCCTCCCCTCCTCCTCCTCCTCCTCCTCATCCTCTTCTTCCTCCTACTCCTCCTCCTCCTTCTCCCCCCTCCTCCCCCTCCTCCTCTCCGTCCCTCCTCCTCCTCCTCCTCCTCCTCCTCCTCCTCCTCCTCCTCCTCCTCCTCCTCCTCCTCCTCTCCGTCATTCTCCTCCTCCTCCGCCGCTGCACGTGTCGTCCTCATACTCCTGCTGCTGACGCTGGCAATTACCGAGCCAGGACGCGGGGCGAGTCGCCTGTGAACGCCGCGGAGGCGGCTGCGGAGGTTATGGGCCACGGCGTGCGATGCAGCGGGGTCCTGGCAGAGCCCAGCAGCCTCCAGTGCAGATCGCGCCATGAACTCGGAGAGCCTGTGGACACCGTGAGAAGGCCAAGGCGTGCGATGCAGGGGGTCGCGGCAGATCCGAGCAGCCTCCAGTGGCGATCTCGCCCTAAGCTCGGCAAGCTTATGAACTCCCTGCAGAGGCCATGGCGTGCGATGCAACGGGGCCGCAGGTGTCAAGGCCGTCGGTGGCGGCCGTGCCTGCCAACGACCGCACCGAGGAGAACCCTGCCGAGCTGATAGCCCTCGGCGTGCTCGAGAACGAGGACGGCGCCGGATCCAGCAGCTTCCGCTGCACCCCTGCTCCATCTGGCGGCCTCGGCAACGCCAAGCGGCGTATGCTAGTAAGAAGCATGCGAGCCAATGCCTTATCCAGTTCCGCCGTCTCTGGGCCAGACCACAGACGCGCGCAGGCCGCCACGAGGGTGAGGACGCAGCCGCATCTTCGTCGGGGCAGCTGCCATGTGGAGGATGAAACAAATAAATCTCCAGAACCCCCTGGAGGCCTGCAAAATCGAAAGGTCAGAACTGCCAGTCCTGTTCCCTCGTGCTGTTGCCATCTGTTGCCGAGCTGCGTGGAGTCCGTGGGAAAGCGAACCAGGGGGGGGAGTCCCTGCAGGGATCTTTTCGCCACCAGGTCACAAGGTGACGGAGGTGGTGAGAATGCACCGCCATGGGGAGGCCCTGCGTGTGTGCATGTGCGCGTGCGTTGTATTAGTTTCTCACACCTTGTTTTCCTCAATGCCCACTTCGGCAAGTCTCTAACCTGGGAGGACACGGTCGCAGTTCGAGGCGAATTGTCACACGCACTTGCGCGTGCGCAGCCGAGGCCAAGTCTCCTCCCTCTCGTCCTCCTCCCCGTCATCACCTCCGCTTCTTCCTGCTCATCCAGGCCTGGGCTGACTCGAACCGCGAGGTTGAATCGGATCTGAAACGGATTGGATCGCCAGCGGGTCGTCCCGACACAGATCGACGTCGGATCGCCACGCCCGGCCTTTGGCTGGCCCCGGCCCATGCCAGTGACAGGAGCCGAATCGCATCGAATCGCAATCGCGGCCCCAGCCGGCGCATCGAATGGCATCCTCCGATCGTACCCTCCTATTGCAGGTTTTTCCTGGCTTTTCCCCGATCAGAGCTTGCCACTGTAGGGTCCTAGCGGATTCATATGGTTAGGTTAGCTGCGCCGCCGATTTTGGCGGCCCGCCCGGGTGCCCGGGTGCCCCATAGCCCTATAGCCTATAGCCCTACAGCCCTATAGCCCTATAACCCTACAGCCCTTTAGCCCTATAGCCCTGTAGCCCAATAGCCCTCTAGCCCTTTAGCCCTATAGCCCTCCAGCCCTCTAGCCCTCTAGCCCTCTAGCCCTCTAGCCATGTAGCCCCGTAGCCCTGTAGCCCAATGGCCCTATAGCCATATAGCCCAATAGCCCTAGCCCTATAGCACTATAGCCCAACAGTCCTATAGCCCTCTAGCCATATAACCCAACAGCCTCATAGCCCTATAGCCCCACAGCCTCAACAAAGATGTAGATCGAGGTTTCTCTCCAGTATCATGGAGCCCCCTCAGGGGTCACCCTGGTCACCTCACGTCGCGCTTTGCGCTGCTGCCCTTGCGCCTTCGCGCCGACCCCTGAAATTGAATAGCCCTCCAGCCAAGACCGCGAACCGCGATTATCTTCGCGCACCTGCGGGTGACCTATCTCCTCCTCCTCCTCCTCCTCGTCCTCGTCCTCGTCCTCCTCTTCTAACGCCATCCAAATACATCCGACTTTCTGATTTGTACGTGATGTGTAGGCCCCTAAATTTCTCGACCCCTTCCAGGGGACCGCCATTTCACCCCGGACCACTTCTTGATGGCCCTGGATTCCGAAGCCCCTCCGGAGGGCCACCCTCTGGAAGGCCGAAAACGATTTCTCCGAGACGGAGGATGTCCAGGTCACGAAGGCACGCGCTCACTGGGGAACGAACCGAGGCCCACATCTCCGAACATGCTTTTGTTAACATGGTTTTTTGACATCCGGGCGATGTTCCGGATGTCGGCCTCTGTGGCCCCTCTTCGGGCCCCGAGGCCCTCAAACATGGACCCGGGACGAAAGACGACCCGCCGCCGCGCTTCGAGCAGATCACACCGTCGGACGTCCAGGCGCACACGCCATCGGGGGCGTCCAGGACGGGGGCGTCCATGGCGAGGGGGGGGGTCGCAAGTCACGGCCCGAGGCACGGGCGCGGGCGAGAGGGGGGGGGGGGGGACCAGGGGACGCCTTGAAATTTCCGGGGAGATCTCATGGCCCCAGCCATGCTGATTTCCCCCCCCCCTCCCCTACAGCCATCGTGCTGAAACACGGAGCGCGCTGAGTAAAGAACGACGGAGCTTTTCTGGCCACGGAGACCCCCGGCCACTCACAGGTCCCCCGACCTGGATCTCAGGAGCGGGCCGAAAAACCAGAGCTCCTCTCGAGGGCCGAAAAACCGGAGCTCCTCCCGAGCCCGAAGCGGCCCCTATTCCCGCGCACTGGCTGTAGTCATCACCCCCCTCTTGGCCGCCCTCGATGTGAGGGGCAACAGCAGGGGGGGACTGGCATAGGGGGAGAAAGCGCCTTGGAATCGGCGATACATCGCCGATAGATCGGCGACAGGCCTCCGAGATAGTGAATCCGCAGGTTCCTGGGCAGGTTGAGGCTATGGGGCCCCTGTCGGCAATCAGTGGGCGATTGTGGGTCCCCACCGGCGGCGGCGGTGGCGAAGTCCAGGAGAAGCGCCAGGGTTGGGCAAACCATATCGTCGGAAGTCTTCGGCGGCGAGCGAGGGGGGAAGTAAGAAGGGGCGGGCCTTCTCAGAAAGCTGGGAAGTCCCCGGGCCTTCCGAGAATATTCCTAAGCCTTCCCTGAAGACACGGGAAACTTCTCAGAAGGCGCGAGGGCGTCTGAGAAGTCCCGCCGCCTTTTGAGAAGGCCTTCTCCTTCTCACTTCCCTCCTCGCTCGCCGCCGATTTGGGGAGCTTGGAAGTTGGCACCAACACCAACATGGTGGAAGCTGGGCACAGTTTGTCCGCCCCCCAGACTGTTGCAGCAGCATCGTTTAGGACATCCAGTGGTGCACGCGTTTGCTCCTCTATCGACGCTGCTTCGAGCATCATGTGGAGATCGGTCCCAAATCAGTTTCTGCCAAGATAGTCGCATGCACAGTTCAGCACAGGCGGGAAGAAGGTGTTGCAGCATCGCTTCCCCACCTCCGCAGCAATTTGTTTCAGAGGCCCCACAGAGGGCCGTGCTAGCAGCACGCAGTTGAGTCCGTGACAAAAGTCATCGTCATGGGGTTTGCCTCCACTGGGGCAAGACGATCCTGCATTCTGGTGACGGTGGTGATCTCTCGGTCGACTGGGAAGCCCGAGTAGCACCACCCGCACCGAGATCAGCATCACCTTCCCCAGGTAGAGAGGTAGAGGTAGCCGCCGATACTGGTGCTGGTGCCTGGCGGCGAAGACATACCCGCATCTGCGGCCTCACGGGCCGGGCCCCTGGGCGGCGACCCCGGGGATGCGGGGGCGTTTTGTTCGCGGGTGCCCCTCGCGGAACTCATCCGTGCGACCGCGTAGCAGACCGCGAGGGCATGGACGTGGATACGCTCGCCGCTCGTGAGGTGCTAACCTCGGGGCCTCCA